CCTTCTCCAAGTGCCCTTTTTCAGATTCACTGTCTCACATATGTGTGTTGTTGGAACACGAAGACTTGAGTGTTTTCTGGGGTTTTGGTGCCAATGGCAGAATTTGAAGTGGCATAAGAATCAGGTCAGGTGTCGCTTTGCTACCTGCCATTTCCTAGGACAGCTTCCAAATTTCTTTTCACCACTTTACTAAGGTTTATCTCCTCTATTTTCAGACTAAGGTGTAAATACATATTAACAGGGCTGCAGGCCCTGGATAATGTGCCTTGCACCAAAGCAATGCTCATTAGCTTAGGCTTGGCTAATGCTTTTATTTCCCCTGTGATTTACTGCTGGCTTGCCTCCAGCCTTTTCAGTGTACGGTGATATTTGTTCATTTTTATCTAAAGAAATCATTTAAATGTACCTATAGTGAGGAAAAATTATTGCAAAGGTACCTTAAACCAGTATTTATGCAAAGGAGTGCACCTTACACCCTATGCAGTAGAGGTATTTCTAGCAGAAAACCGTAAACACTTTTAGAAAAAGAGAGGATTTTTAAAATGGCTACATGCACAGACTCAGTTTATAATGTGAACAGATATTAAAACACTAAGGCAACATGAAGCTCTTAAAGTTCCAGTCTGAAATCTCAAATTCCAACAGCTCTGTGTGGCTGGAGGTAATGCTGCCACTGTCCAGATTTCAATGAAAACCTTCATCCTCTTTCTCCTCCAAGGAGATTTTTCCTTTTGTTTGCAGTACAGTTAAAACTACTTGAGGACTGATTCTTGGCCTGGGGTCAGAAAGTATTCCTAGCACAGAAGTTTACTGAAGGACGTGATAAAAGTAGGCATGGGTTATAAAAAGCTCAGCTTTTCTCTTAAGTTTACTTTTGTACATTGTTAAGGAACAACTTGCATAAGAAACTATCAGCAATGACTGCACGGAGAGCTTGGCCAGCCTCTGTGTTTTGTTGAAACCTGAGTTTTTGTAGGACTGTGAAATTTGAGGAAGTTCCAGTTTTAGCCTGCAGCACTTTGCAGAAGCAGTCAGAAGGTGATTTATTTCCACAACCCATGGTGGTATTCCACATGACATCTGAATAAAGGTCAATTCAACTGCGTGAGCTTTTCTTTCTGCAGCTGCGCTCCTTCCAATGCCACGTTTGATTAATGCAAGATCAGTGCCTCTGCACTCCCTGTGCTTAAAGCACGATACCCCTTTTGCTTTTGTAGTGCAGCTACAAACCTGCTACCCACCAGTGACCTGGAACTAAACACGCTTTTGGTTGTAAAAAAGAATCCATTAATGCAGTTTATATCATTTTTTTAATTATTTTTTTTATTTTTTTCCCAGATTGTGGGGAAATAAGGCACAAAAAAGGCAAATGCTGTACAGGGAAATAGAAGCAATGCATGTAGCTGCAGTGCAGAAGGCGTGTCTGCCTGGAGGATTGATTTCCCAAAGCAGATCAGCTCTAAAGATGTTGACAAGGTTTAATTGAATGGCCATGAGTCAGCCAATTTCTATCCTAACAATAAATTGTAACTCTAAATGTTATGTGCTGGGGGATGTAACCTAGTTGTGCTCATGAATCTTGAGATCACTGGGTTGTGTACACCAAGTGGCATTAAGTGATAAAATGTTGTTATAATGTAGAAGATGACTTTGTCAAGCCCTTTGCTTTATTTATAGTGTCTAAAATAACCATCTGTTCGGTTTCTTTTTGCAGATAGCAGTACATTGTTATATCTAATTTAGGGGATTGATTTCAGGTAATCCAAACTTCATGTCAGAGGCTGGTAAGAAGGAAGATAAATATTTCAAATCCCTCTTTTATTGATTTTGCCCATCTTTTAGTCTCTCAGTAACTATTAGTTACGAAGCTTTATCTTTATTGTTGTTTGCTCTTTAGGCTGTAAGATTACCTCAACTGAAGCAACTTAATACATTCAACACAGTTAAAAAACCTCAGAATTGCTGTGTTAGAACATATTCTATAGATTTTCCCAATATTAAAATTTAAAAAAAAAAAATAAATCCCCTAAAAACATGAGTAACCTTAATATTTCTTTAAGTCCCATTAAATAAAGTATCTGTTTCAGTAAAGTTACAAGCTGATGTCTTGAATCAGATATCTGTTTCCAGGTTAAGGTCAACTATTTTGCCAGACTAGAATGGAAACTACATACACACTATCAGGATCTTACTGAATTTATTCCTTGCATTTCCTAGAGATTCCATTGAACTGAATTGTCTTGGCCCAAAGTGAAATGGAGGAAGATGTTTTTCTACAGAATCACAGTGCACTCTCTAGTTTTCTTTCTTGGTTGGTTAAGGTGATTTAGCCCCTTTACTCCAAGAACCCCAGGGTTGTTTTTGTGGCATTTTTGAAGATGTTGGGGTAAGGTTCAAGCTGAGGACAGGACACCTGTAGACCATTTACCCATTTTTCCTATTCTGTGCTGTAATTCAAACATCAGTCCTGATTGCCTATTTCACTTGTTGATTTTTTATTTAGGACATGGGATTCTGTGCAGCAGATTGAAAAAAATTGATATTATGATTATCCAAATGTCATCAAGTCAAAAATACTTTATCCTCTTTCATTTTATCTCAACATTCATTCTGCGATGCTTTAAACATGGAATATTATGTGTAAGTAATGGATACCAAAAGAAATAATATTTTTCAACCATTTCTGCAGAATCCCGCAATACTTGGGACTGTTATTGATGTGTTACTAATGATAATAATTGAGAAATAACATATATCAAAAGGTAAACCTGAATGCCTAGAAATGTAATTAAAAGTAGAGCAGTGTTAAAGCTCTGTGTTCAGATCTTGCATATTCTCTCACTTTCTCTTTTTAATTCTTACAGGTCTCTTGTGGGGTTTTTTTGCTTAGATTTGTAGGCTTTAAAAAGCTCAAGAACCTAAAGAAAATCCTGATTGAATTTACAGTTTTTCTGGATTTTCTGACCTGAAACCAAAGTAACCTGAACTTATGAATCAGCCTGATTTTGCTGGTCTCTAACTGCACTTTTTACAGTCTGACCCAAATTTTAGGTGTATAATACAATCTGAGGCAGTACACCCTAGTGTGGTTTCATGAACAGGTACGACAGTGCTGGCAATAAATTCAGTTTTGTACAGACAATGGAAATGCAGTGTTTGGTACATTGTTAAGGACATTGTTGCACATATGGATGTTTTGAAGTATCAGGCATTTGTGCTTTATGAATTCATAGGACTTGCTTTTCATGTAAAAAATGATCGTATAGCTTTAAGAGGTGCCATTTGAAAATCATTAATTCTTTTCTTTTCCAGAGTGAACCTAGCAGCAGCTCATACAGGACTGTCTACCTTCCACACATTGCCTTGTGCAGTCAGTGCAGACCCCACAGATCAGTGGTTCCTAATCAATAATTTAGATCTTGCTGATGAGGTGTGAGGTCTATGTTATGTATAAAGTGCATTTTATACTTTCACTTAATCTTGCCAGACCTACTGTGACTAGTCAGGAAAAAGATGTTACTGGTATCCAAGCAAAGGTTAGCTGTAAGAGGTGGTAAACTGTGCTACAGATAATGCTAAGGTGTTCATTGCCAAAATAATTAAATTATAGGCATGTCATGTTGGTCTTCATTACAAAAGAGATCTTTATTCCTGTCTTCAGTTCTTAAGAATATCAGTTCACAGGACCTAAAAATGCTGAAGCCTCATCTCAGGTGTGTGTTAATCTCTGTAATTGACTGGGTACTTCTGCTCTCCCTTCCTGGTTTAACTCACTGTATTTTGCTTGTGGCTAGTGGCAGCTCTACTTAACTAAAGAATATTTCCTTTGAATTTACAGCTGGTTTGTTTCACAAGATTTTTGTCTGAAATTCCAGCCCTACTGTCTATTTTTTCCATTACTCCTGCACCGTTCTGCCATAAAATGAGCCATCAGTACCTGCCTGTAATTGAAGATTATTGCAGAAAACTAACAGTGTGTGAGGAAGTAAACAAGTCAATATTAGATCTTTTTAATTAATAAATATAAATTTAGCTCATATATAGAGAGCTGTGTTTGGCATAACAGTAGAGCATAATCACCAAGATGCTGATTTACTAGATGTTAGCGTTTTCAAAGATCTAGTTATCTTTGCAGGATTCCTTATGTACTTACGAATATGTGTGTGAGTTGTAATTTCTCTGTATTTTGCACTTTCTGAAGTAGTAATGTAAGAGGAATTCCTCAAAAAAAGCCATCATTTTGGAGTTTCTAGGTAGCAGGAAGAATATATAATGGTAACATTTCTAAACTTCGCTCTGTATTCTCGTTATTTGAGGCCATCAAAATGGTCATGGCCTCTTTCAAGGCTCCAGCGTCACCTTTTTTTGCCGTTGACCTGGACCTATAAATGAATATCATTTCCATCATATATTTTGCCATCCACCTTTAAGATTGATTTATTAAAAAGCCACCCTCTTGCATGGCTGCTGAGCTCTGGTCATTTCTACTCCTATTCTGCATTCACCTTTTATTTCCATGGTACTTGCTGCTGCTTTTTCTTCATCTTCACATTCTCCCTCCCTTCCTTGTCCCTGGGAATTTCTCCATTAATTTTGAGCTCTCCTGTTCACCATAAAGAGTCTGGTTCTATGGTTGAACAATCCCTCAGCACCTAGAGATCTTTTTAACCTTTTCCCACCTCTTTTTGAAATCACTTTTGCACTTACTTTTCCCCCAGAATAATTTTAACAATTGCTTTCATATCATCATATCTTCCTTGGTCAATTGACCAGTTGGAAAAAATACATATGCATCATGAAGTTATGTTACCTTGATGAGCAGGGCAAGACTGTAATAGCACCTCTGAAGCCAGAATATTCTTATGCTAATTGTTGGCTTGGAGGTCCCTATAACTTTTAATTAGTTGTCCTATTATTACCCTAGAGTGCTTTAATTTTAAATGAAAGATAATAGCTGCCTTATCTCTAAGGAAACTGGTCTTGATTTTATTAACTTACAGGACAGAAGAATAATTGGCACATATCATTGTCCAGAAATGTATTCAACAAAGGTATCTTTCACTGTTTTCTAATGTTTTTATCCTCAGAGACTTAAAATTCAGGTCCTGACTACTTACAGTCATTAAAGATCCCATGGCACTTTTTTATAGCGTCGCCATCTCAACCCAAAGCATCTGGCCAAATACCAATTTATGTAACTGTTCTGCTTACCTAACATTCCCCACCACCACTCACCCACCCCATAGTTTCAATTGGCTACAGCATTCTCCATTTTCTCAACTAAAAAATAGTGTGTTGTTCTGCACTGTCAGTCACCACGTTTTGCCTCAGAGGTGATTGCACTTCATTGGGAACTAAAGTGGTTCTTCTTTCTAAAGCTTGTAAAGCGCTTTGGGATCCTTCTGAAGGGGAGGTGCTGTGCACAGAACGTGTCATGGATTGTCCTTCTAGCTCGGGTTTCACTTAGGAACAAAAGCATATTTTGTTTAAGAGTTGGGCGAACCAGCTCAGTGGAAATAACACTCCCATCTCTCTCTAATCTGACAAGGAGCTTTTTGTCAGAGGTTGAAAAGTCAGGTTAATTTCTTTCTGGGGTTTTGCATTTTCTTTTGTTTAGGGTTTTTTGGGGTTTGTTTGTTTGTTTTTGTTTTTTTATTACTGTTTGTTTTGTTGTTTGTTTTATTTTCACATTCATTTATACCTTCTGGATTGGAAATTGCAGATATTTTTCAGATTGGGGATACAAAATACCTTGAAAAATGAAGTTCTTGTTATGGTCAATCCACTGTTCCAGGTGCAGGAGGGTCAGACTAGTTTTTGACAAGCACCTGAACTTTATAGCCCTTACCTGGCTTTTCTAACACTTCAAGGTTCGCCCATCACTAATTTTTACTGTATTTTGTATTATTTCTTCTGAAAAATCATTATAAAATGGAAAATTGCTTTGCTTCAACTCCTGATATTGGTGCAATATGTGCAGAAGAAACACTTGGACCTAGAAGATAGTTTAGAAGATTGCTAAATGTTTTTTCTGCTCAGCATCACTAACCTTACTAACTACTGCCAGGGCTACCAGATACCTGCAGCACTTTGCTGTGTTAAGAAATTTGCTGAAGTGAGAAAAACAAATGACAATCAAAGCAAGAAGTCAACTGAAGGGGTGATGCCTGTCACTAAAACATGTCTGTAGCTAACTCCAGTAGACCAAAGTAACTTCTGTATTTTTGAGGCATAGAAAATCAATGAGTGTGTAAACAGCACTCACATTGCTAATATCATGGTAGATCAAAAGCAGAGTCATCCTAAGAAGATTTAAGATGTGAACAAATTTGTTGGTACTAAAATCTTTCCAAAGATAGTATCTTAGAATGCACAACATTGAGGTGAAAACAGCCCAGGTTGTGGGCAAAGGGGTAAAACCCATTGCATTACTGGATGTTACTTCAAACCTTCCCTAATGTCATTGCAACAAAAGTTGTGTTCTTTACTTAAGGCTATGTGAAACTATGGAAAACATTGTTTCCAAATGGCTTTGCACCTCTCTTGTAAGACACTTCCCCTAACTGCTTTTAGACATTCTTTGGATCAACAAAAGCCAAGTTCCTATCATTGCTTTTGTTTTCAAGATACTGAAAGTATTATCATTTCTCCAACGTGTTCTAACAAATATGACAGCTAATTTCGCCTTACCCAAAAATCACATAAGAATTATCTAAATACCTGCATTCGTTATAAGATAAGTTTAAAAACTCTTTTGAGAATTTTTTAAAATGTATTTGAAAGCTTTTGCATATATTTGCTTTTGTTTGTGTTGCAATAGCAGAACACTCTTTTTGCCTTAGTTTTGTCTAATGCAGGTGAGAACTATTTGATGGCTTTCCTGCCTAGGACACATCATTTCTTCACCATGCTCAACATCATGCTATGGAGTTCTTAAAGGAATTTTTGAGTTCCAACTCAACTTCCCATTTTGCCACTACTTCTCAATTTATTTCCCTCACATACTAGAAAATTGAAAGATTTAATGTGGCTTTGATGGGAAGGAAGCGAAAGCAAATGATTTTGGCTTCACATTGAGTCAGTACATTTAACCTAAATCTAAAATCTAATGAAATTAGAGGGGTGCAAACTCACATAGACTGGAGTGAAAAAAAAGTAAATCTGGCATCTCAGTGATGCCAATTTTTATGCATCACTTGAACATATGTAATCACTCAAATGGCAGTGTTTCAGTAGGTCCAAAGTACTTTTATGAGTATCTGACCTCCAAGTTCATAACCAGTTCATAATACTATGAAGTGGATGCTACTAAAACCCAATTGTTTGGTTTTCAACCCAGTTCTCTCACCGTGCCATGTGAAGTATTACAAAGGAAGTTTTTAATAATGGCACATATGGTGCTTTATTGAGCAGTGCAGTGAGGTACCTGCTGCTGACTGCTGGCTTCTAAATATTACAGAATAGACTAAGCCCATATTATTGTTAAGAAATTCACAAAAATCACAGTTTGTGCACTTTTGGTAGTCATAGTCTGTATTATGAACATTATAAATAAATAATGTGTATGAGCTACAGTTTCATCTTTCCTTTGGCCTGGAGTATATCTGCACTACCATCACTAAGTCAGTGCATTTAATTAACTGCTCATTAGCCATTGTTGCTTTTAAAGTAAATTTAATTATACTCTGTAATCATGCAACTCAGAATATATACTTAGAAGGAAGGGTGAGGAGAATTAGAACTTACTAAATAACCTTATATTTGTTTTCTATAAATGGATTATTTTGAATTTACCCTACCATACTTCAGATCTTCTCCAGATTGCCAAAGAGTAGACTTTAATTTCTCATCTTTGAAACTCTCTTAAGTGTATAAGGTGATTGGTTTTTATTTTTCCTAAGTTGCATTAATCTTTTTTTTTTTTCCACTTAACTGCCTTTAAACAAATAGATAGTAGCTAAAGCGACCCATTGAAACAACTGGTCAGAGTACATTTGATGTGATTACACACTGTATGTGTTTTCCTTTCCTCTAAATTGCAGATATCTGCTATTCCAGGAAATTCATTAGACCTGGGGAGCAGAGTTTCTGCATAGTCAGACTAGGTACTGACATAGCCTTTCCCCAAGGGGCCAGCAGTCCTCTTTGGAATATGGGGACTGGTAATTTGCATTCTCTTGTGCAGTGCTCTGGGCCTCATTTTAGTGAGGCAGTGAGACCTTGTGAATACCTGAAGTTATTGTCAGAGCAGAAGTTATCGTTTGAAACAAAAAAAAAAAATGAACAACAACAAAACAGACCTTTTTCCATTTGAATTCCCTCTAAAACCCCACAAAGTTCACTGTTTGTCCCAGATATCCTACCCAGTGGCAGAATCCTGCTTCCAGGAGCTGAGCATGCATTCCATTTCCAGGTATCGCTTCTGCTCACAGAATGTAGAGTTTAGGGAAATGCTATTTATTCCATTCAAGTGTACTGGCCTTATTGCTCCTGGAGCTCACAGATCAATGGCAATAAATACTGTTTTGGCGATGCTTAAAGTCTTTTAGACAGGCTGAAATCCAGTGAACCAGTCATGTTAGATGTAGCCCTTGTCAGCATGGCTTCAGCTTGCAACCCACGGGGCTTCCTTTCTCTCCTGTTAAATCCGCTTTCTTATATTTTACAGATGGATCCTCATGAAAATATTTTGTTGAGCACTCTTGAAATTAAAAATGAGATGGCTGCCTCCGAGGCTGTGATGGGGCTTGGGGACCCTAGGAGCACTATGCTGGCCTATGACACTTCAAGCATCCAGTACCGGAAAGCTGGCTTGCCCAGGCACAGCTTTGGTCGCAACGCGCTGGAGCGACACGTGGCACAGAAGAAGAGCAGGCTACGGAGACGCGCGTCTCAGCTGAAAATCACCATCCCTGACTTGACTGATGTCAATGCCATAGATCGATGGTCACGCATATTCTTCCCAGTTGTTTTTTCATTCTTCAATATTGTCTATTGGCTTTATTATGTGAACTAAGAAACAAAGCCACACAGGAAACAAGAACTGGATTTCTCTTCAAATCGGTTGTACAGCCAAAAGTGGGACTTAAAAAATTCTATTCAGGACAAAAGTTACTTTAAAACACCTTAGTTGCTGGCCCACTCTATGGTCTGTTTGCATAACGTTTGGGTTGTATCTGCTCAATCCTAAATATGTTAAGTAGCAGTATGGACATATTCCCTTATCAAAATATAAGTGCGTTTTGAGTGTGAAGGAAAATAGGATTTTGACAATCGCTTCTGTCTCATTGTCTCTCACTCTCTTTTTGTTTTTCTTCTTTTCTTTTCTTTTTTCTTTTAATGTGCATTCGAATTCAGTGATGCAAATTGTAGAGTGGCATTTGAGAAACAGGTTCTACTTTCAATGGCAGTTCGTACCATTCCCAGGGAAACATGCATATCTGAGACATGCATCGACACTCAAGAGAGTTCACTAAGTTATCATGTTTATGAAACAGATACAATTTAAATGTGTAAACTTGAAAATGCGCAGTGCCTATTATCTTTCCTAGATGAAGCTGGTCAGAGGTTTCCCAACCATATTCAGGTATTTCTTGGTATTTATTGAAAGAACTAAACCTTTGACTCATAATATTAGGGTTGGGTGTTTGCACAGAAGCTGAAGCAAAAAGCACTAGTTTTGTTTGCATTTTAAAGAGAGAAATTTTATGCCTACAGTCACAGTGACTGTAGTTGTGAGCAACAGAGGAATGTAGCAATGTTATAAAAATGCATTGAGTCTGAGTGGGTAGATATGCTGGTGTTTTGTGTTGAGAAAAGGAAATAATCTGTCCCAAGTGCCAAAACTGGTTGGCCAAATAGTAATTTTTTAGGTGGCTGAAGGATGGTGCCCTGCCTTTCTAGGGTAGGGAGAGCTAGAGAGCCATTATAAGTACAGGGCCAAGGAGAGGAAAGGCTATAAATATGTCAAAGTGTGTGCAAATGAATGTTGTCAGTTAAAGTACATACCTTAGACTGCAATACTCATGTGGAGTTGTGTGATTTCTTCCAAGTTTGCAATCTTTTCAGTGTTGTGCTTCCCCTTGTTGTTGTGCTTAACACCCCACATCCAGTTGGATTAATGGTATCGCACCTCTTTCAGCACTAAAGAGATGAGCATATGTACTTTAGTACATGACAGGGTACTTTTTCAGTCTGGATAAGGCAATACCAGTTCACTTTCCCTTCCCCCCCCTCCTTAATGCACTGTTTGAAAGTGAAAAAGTTGGTATCCATCCTTTCAGGAGTTCAGTTACACTCTTGAGCATTTCCTGCTTGAGGGTGATTTCCATTGAAAAACTAGCAAATTTCAGTTTGGCTTTAGGAAACTTTTTAAATAAAAGTTTTTTTTTCATTCCATAGAGCTTTAATTTTATAGACAAAATAGAACAGACAAGAAATTCAATGTTATAGGCAAAGTAGATTTTGCTACTTAATCCACTGTGGAACCTTCTTCTGTATTGAAAAAAAATATTGAAAGGACTGTATAAGGAATATAAAATCCTGATGGCTTTTACTAATTCAGATCCCCAGTATTGTTTGACACAAAATATTTCATGAAACAAAAGCCACATCTGTTGTATCTATGCTACCTCTCATCTGTCTACAAATTTCTGAAATAAACTAGAAGTCAAGTATCTTCCAAACAGCAGAGATTTTTTTGAGGCAAATAGTTTTTCCTCATTAAGGTATTCCTTTGGAGTTTTCTAAAATAATTTTCTTTGAATTTTTGGTTCTTGCTTTAGAAGAGTAATTTTCTTACAAGTGTCTGTGGGATTTTATTTATTTTTTCCCCCCATTTGATAGAGAATGACAGTGAAAGGAGAACAACAGTCCTAGGAACTAATAGACCAAATTTCTGACTTTCTTTTAAGCATAACATATAGTTATTTTTGCCTCAAATGGGAGAGAATAATTTTAAGCCTGAAATGGGGTTTGCCAGGCACACACACCTCCTGCTGTTTTCAAGGGAGTTGGGTGTGCACTCACCTACTGTTTCCATGTTCAGACTCTGCAATATGTAGAAACAGGCTTTCTTAGTGGGATTTACTTTCCAAGTAAAAATGTTGCTTTTTGTTCATATACTTAATTTCTGACTGCATTTGATGCATAATGCAATAAGCTTTGTAGATACATTTGGAATTTCAACTGACAGGTATGAATCATGTTGGAATTTTTTCCCAATTCTAAGTAAAGTAGCTACATCAAAATTCAATATTTCTTTTCAAAGTCAGTTCTTTTATCATGAATAAAAGTAATCTCATAGTATTCTTCTGTACAAGGTTGTTGGTTTTTTTTCCATTTCACAAATTGCTGCCAACTCCTTTTTTAATTTCACAGCAGTGTAGTGTGACTCCACAGAGCTCACAGCCTGCTTGTGGTTGATACACTTCAGTGTAAAACCTTGCAGAGGATGTGTTGACTCTCTGCATTGCTTTCCTGCATCAGCTATTGTGAAAACCACAGAGACTGAGTCCTGGAACTGCTTGTTAACATGTCTGAAGTTACAGAACAAGCCATAATACTCTCTGATGTTGCTGTTCAGAGACTGAAAGAAAATGTCTGGTTTCTGCTCAGGTGTCACTAAGGAAGTTATATTTTCTGGGGGGAAGGAGCACTTTTGGTTTTACTATGTCCTTTTGGTTATGATTGCGATGTATAAAATCAGTGAAAGAGAAGGATTCTATCATTTTGTACTAAGGCTTAACACTGTGATACAAAAAGGTAGGGGTGAGAAAAACTGGTGAGGCACTGTCAGGGAAAAGGTGTAACTGGAGCCCACAGTGAGCACTTACTCCTTTTCTGAGATACTTGAGTGAAAGTGAGAAATTTTGCCAACATACACAAGATATTGGGTTTGCTATGTGTGCTTCCATCCAGGTAAACTAGAATAAATTTTCTTTTAGTCTAGAATTTGAGTAAAAAATAATATTCTAGATCCTTTTAATCATGTTAATTGCTATTATTTTCAATAAGCAAAATATCAAAGTTAATAATTTAGATGAATCTTGTAATATAGTTGCAGATTTTGTTGTTCTATTAGACATGATAGCCAGCAATTAAGGTGTTTTTCATCTTTGTGAAATTCATGGGCAAATTATGACTATAACATGGCACAGTTTTAATGAAATCTTTGAGATCAACCTGTAAATATATATTGTACATGACTGCTAATAAGTATGATACACATTTTCAGGACTGGAAATTCATGCAACATATTTCTGTGTTTGCATAAGGAATGTTGTGTTTCTATCCTATCACAGTTTAATGAATGAGAAGAAGGACTCAAGCAATGACATTGTGACCATTTCTTTTCTCATTCCCAGGGCAGGAAAACAAGAGTCTTTGCTAACAGCATGTAGCAGAATTCTGCAGAGAGTTTTTACATTCTAATACAAAGGACATAAAATCTGTAAGGTACAAAAGCACAATGCATAGAGAAAACGAGTGGTGGTCTTACACCTGGGAAACAAGTCCTATTGATTTCAGAAAAATATGCATTCAAATTAAAGCTCAATGAATTTTCATTATAATTATCAGACTGTGTTCCAATTCTGTACTATACCTGGTACTAAATAGAGGTGAACAGATGTTAAACATTATCCAGCATTATGTGCATATGGACAGATACCCAAATGTCTATATGCACATATGTGTGTGTGTGTATATATACCTCCTGTGTATATATGCACACACATTCACATGTGGGCGTGTTAAAGGAATAAGCTAATGATAGTTTTGTTTCTGCCATCAACCAGTGTATCAATATATTTTTGACAAAAAAAAAAAAAAAAAAAAAAAAAAAAAAAAAAAAAGATTAATGTATTAAAAAAAACACAAAACAAAACAACTGACTTACTATACAGGGTAACTGGGCATTTCTATATCAGCAGATCAGTGCTTATAATTCATAAGGAGCATTGCACCATTTGACATGATGATAGTACTGTACCTCCTAGCATCTGAAATTAGACTAGTCCTCACATTGCTTGCCTATTTCTTCTCTCTCTTTTTATAACAACATTTTCCACTAGTAAGTTTTCAAAATCAACAAATTCCTTGGGGAGCTGAGAAAAAAAAAGGCAAAAGTATTGACTATTTCTAGGGTGGGATGGCCAGGGTACAATACTATATCAGTAGTGGTCATAACATTTTGCTATGTGTACATAGACCATACAATGTGAGCAACCATAACTTAAGCTGAACGTGTGTAAATATTATCAGATTTCTTAAACATTTTTAACTTCTAATTTGTACTTTATGGTAAGGCAAAAAGCTAATTCTACTTATGGTTTAGGCTAATGTGTCCTAAAATTATGTAAATAAATAAGCTGTAAATGAGCAGTCGATAGATACAGTAATTGTTTAGTGACTTTTTTTTACTAAGTACAATAATAGCAGTGCTCTAGCAGAGTAATTTAAACACCCTTTTGCATAAACAGATTTGGATTCCAGAGATAAAACCAGTACAGAAGGTGCTGTGGTGTGAAGTAGCCATTGTGGCAACATCATTGCTAGCACAATCGATTCTTGCGTGGTTAAAATGTTCAGGCAACAGACGATGGGAGCTTGGCACTCAGGACTCAGCATAAACAAATGGGGCTGGTTTTCACTTACAATAAGGCACTTTTATGTTGCTCCAGTGAGTGGAGAGGTGAAGGAATCCAGGGTAAGTGAGAATTGGAGCTGTTGGTGATTTCATTACAGAAAGCCTGCATGTGGCGTCTGTCTGTTTCTGAAATCTGTATCTCCTATGGTATCTAACAGTAGACTTATATTTTTCTTTACAAAAATAAAAAAAAAAAAGGAAGTTTGACTGTTGTTAGAAGGCATAGTCCCCCAAAGCCAAAGAATCTTCACTCCAGAAATTGTTTAAAAGGGAAATCTAATGAGTCACTGCTTAACACCAAAGGTAAAGCTTAATAAAATGCACTAGGAACTTTGTCTAAATTTTTAAGAAGCAAACGGAATGTTGATCAAAAATATTGCCCTGTTCTACTTTGTAAAAATAGTACTAATTTAAATATCCATTAATA